TGAATTCGAACAGCACTGCCAGAAGTCAAGGGATATCAAGAATGTCCAGATTATAGCTGCTCGCTAGTGCGCAAAGCCATACCTTGTCATTCACGGCCTGTGCGGCTTTTTCATCATTTGAATGTTTTTGGCCAGTGGTTAGAGCCAAGCAGCGTTTTAACGCTGAAATTGTATCATCCAGCAACGCCTGACTGCTAACGCCTTCCTCTGGGCACAGCTCAGACTCTTCCTCCATATTCATGCATACAAAACCCTCTGAATGAACCTGAAACTAGCGAAAGGCATCGACTGTAAGATACGCAGCCACAAACGTCGCTGAAATGTAGTACAGAGCTGGTTCAAGTGCATCGAGATGCTCCGAGACCTGGCCAATTCGAATGCCCGAGCCACACTGAATGCCTTCATAGATCACAAAAAGGCACAAAAAGCGCATGAGCCGATGAACCAGCGAGTGCTGACTGAACAAATTTGCAAGCAGCCAACAGATGCTTCCGGTACACTCCGTCCAGTTTAAGCGCACACGTCTATTCACAACAACTTTGCAAAGTCTTCCGAAACTGACACGACGTGCAACCTCTCAAACAGCGCTCGAAGCTCCTTCAGTTTTTTCAGAACTCCCAAGAAATGCCCTCCTCAATCCTGGAGCTCTCTTGCCAGCCTCAATCCTGAAAAAATCGAAGATGTGCACACATCAGCTCGCCTTCTCACCGATCACCGTGGGCTAGCATCCTTAAAGCGACAAACCGTCTGTCCCTGCCCCTCCACACGCATTCACAATTTCCGCTGCTGCCGCCAGTCAGGACCTTTTGGATCAGCCTTCTTCAAAACTCCGCTCATTCCACCTGTATTTACGGGACAGAGCGAGACAAATCCTCGCTGGGACGCGGGACCAAGCTGTGCCCAGCGCAGCAACGCCATTCCTTCAGTGCCAGCCGTTAGGCTGTGGCCACTGCCCACGACAGGGATGCCCAGGTCCACCGAACCAAAAAACCGCAAGAGACCGTCACCACACACACACACACACGCACACACACACACGCACACACACACACACGCACACACACACGCACACA